CAAGTTTGTATTTGCAGTAAAGTATATTAACATATTGAACACGGAGGTTAATCATAGTTTATTTTTGTTTTTCTTTGGAACTTTTTAACGAAAATGAACACGCACATATGCAGCTGAAGTTAGATCTGTTCATCCCAGCATTCAAGAAAATCTGAGCCTGGCTTCACACCTCTAAGTTTCGTTTGAACATTAATTTATGCATAATACAAACAGTATATTTTCAACACCACTTTGCTTTGTTAGCTGAATTTAGCTTTCATAAATATTCATTTTCTAGTCAGACAACCGAATTGTATGCTTCGAGTTTGGGTTAACATAGGGCTTCGAGGCATATTTATGACTATTTGCCCTCATTGTTTGTCATAACAGCCCGTGTGATGAACTTTGGGAATATTAATAAGTGTAGACGTGTAAGTCATATGTGCCTCGATACTTAGCGTAGATGGTGTGGATATTCTCTTTTTTCTGTCTGCAGCTGACGTTTCCTCTGACGCTTCTCTGCAGAATTGGTCTGATGGAGCAAAGGCACTCAGCGAGTTTGGTACAAAAATGCAACAATGCGACCAGTGTGCATACAGCACGGATCGTCCTGGACATTTACACAAGCACCAGAGAACTCACACAGGAGAGAAACCCTTCAAGTGCATGTGTGCGGAAGGCGTTTGCAGTCATCACATCTTTAACTACACACAGAGAACACACGGAGAGAAACCCTTCAGTGCAGTGTGTGGAAGGCGTTTGCACAATTCACTGCTCTTAAAAACACCAGAGAACACACACAGGAGAGAAACCCTTCAGTGCAGTCTGTGTGGGAAGGGTTTGCACAGTCATCTTCTTATTCACCAGAGAACACACACGGGAGAGAAACCCTTCAAGTGCAGTCTGTGGGGAAGGCGTTTGCACATTCATACATCTTAACAACACCAGAAACACACACAGAGAAACCTTCAAGTGCACTGTCTGTGAGAAGGCATTTGCAGTCATCAGGTCTTAACACCAGAGAACACACACGGGAGAGAAACCCTTCAGTTGCACTGTGTGGGAAGGCGTTTGCAGTCATCAATCTTAAAGACACCAGAGGACACACAAGCATCAGAAGATCCCCAAGAAATGGAGTCTGAAATCGGCTTGTGAAAGTCAAAGTGCTGCAATGAGCCCATCCCTCATGAAACCAGAAGTGAATCCCAGCTTGGACACTTTTAAAGGTATCAAGGTGAAATGTGAAGAGGCGAAGGTGAAATGTGAAGAAGTGATGAAGAGCGAAGAAGTGAAGGTGAAATGTGAAGTGATGGTGAAGAGCGAAAAAGTGACGGTAAACTGTGAAGATGAAGATTCAACTCCAAAATCGTACCTTCACATCGATGGAGGCAACGTGAAGCAGGAGGAGAATTCTGACTGCGAGGCAGAGCTAGGCAACTCCCAGAGTTTGTGGAAGTGGAGGTGTGGGTGGACTTCTTAGACAATACAAAGTCAAATGGAGACCCGGTAGATGTGTAGCTTAATGAAGCTCCAATAGATGCACCTTTGTCACAGGCCTTTAATGAAAAGAACGTGAAATTGAACACTGAATTCCTGGGTTCAACCTGCAGAGTAAGAGCGGCGAGTATTTGTTGACCTGTGGGTTGGGTAGATGAATAATCAGGAGCAAGAGCCAATAAGCTTCTAAGTATTCCACTGTTATATTTATATTTGCATTGATATGGTGTTTTAATTGCCTCAGCAACTCAGTTTTCATATCTCATCACAACACTCGAAGAGCACCTTCAAGTGGCAGCTGCCTCTGTCATAAGGTGACCTGCTGTCACCTGCATGTGGGCATGAGTCTGTCAGTAGGGGGTGATGATTGATGTGTAATCTTCATTATGTAATTTCTGGATAATGTTTGAAATTGCCCAAATATTGACCATGACACCAACATGCAATGACCTATGCGTTTTGAATGACACATCGTATGTTTTACATCCACTGTTAAGCAGACGGTGCATATTTTGTTAATGTTACTGGAGTAGCCAGGTGCCTGTCGGATTTGAACCTTGAACCTCTGTAATAAATAGAGAATGTGCTACCACTGGCTTCCCTTAATCTGAGTGTAGGCATGACAGCCTGAATGTTTCTAACCGAGCAGATGTTCAATTTAGAGGGGTCCACGTTTTACATGGCTACAGAAGGGAGGGCATTACTGTGAGAAGAACCGAAGCTTCATGCGGAGTGACAGACCAGGTAGCTTCCACACAGCATTGCGCAGCCGATGAAATGATAATGCCGCCCGACTGATTCGGACCACCCACACAGTGTACACACACCATGTCTACACAGAGCGTACACAGTGTACCCGCACAGTATACAAACAGCCTGTACACACAGTAACAAAACAACCGCCATTTGTCACTAAGTGTTAATGAGCCCGGCACATTATCATAATTTATTCATATTGGTTCTTTCGGTAAAGTCACGTAGAATGGAAATAATAAAATAAAAATAAAACTATAAAATAATTCTCACGTTTCGGCCACAACGCAAGCAGCCGTCACCAGGTGAAGACCAGGTCTGTCGATTTTACCGAAAGAACCAAGAATATGAAGCCCTGCAGTCACGAAAGCTTTAAATCGAAATATAATTTATTCACCATTGTAACCTCATTTGCCAGAGGAAAAAATATGATAATTTTTTTTTACCCCTTTTAGCTGTCAACAAAACTGATCTGGTCCAACACCATGTGAGACTAGGCTCTTAAGGAAAGCTGTCTCGGGGTGTGGACCAATCAACTTCAAGGACAGTGCATACATTTCAGAGTTATTTTTTTGTTTGCATTATGACCTGCAGGTATTGTGGTCTATGCAAACATGACTCCTTGTAAAAAAGGTGTCAGTTTTGTTGCCAGATAAAGATGGTAAAAACATAATTATCTTTTTTCGATTTAAAGCTTTCGTGACTGCAGGGATTCATCTTCTTGGTTCTTTCGGTAAAGTCACGTAGAAGGGAAGTAATAAAATAAACGTCTAAACTTATTTTATTATGTTTTATTTTTTATTATTTTTTTTTATTCCTTCTACGTGACTTTACCGAAAGAACCAAGAAGATAAATTATAATTTATTCAAGTTACACTGCTGCTCGATAGGGAGGGGATTGTGTGGACCCCGCAAGTGACGTCATGTCACCTGCCGCATGACGTCACGGCATACCAGGAAGCTTCTGCTCCGCGCACGTTCGCGCACGGAGATCCGTGGTGAGAAGATTACATCGTGTGGTTGTGGTTATTGTTGTGGTTGTTGTTGTGAACCTAGGTAGAGCCTCGCTCCTTCTCCTCTCGTATGGATATCAATTGAGTAGCAGCGAGTATGGAATCGATGTCCAGGTTGGAACATTACAACGCGGGCCTAGCCTGCCTTGCCTCCTGCCTCGCCTGATTGCATTTGCTTTAATTCTCAGCTTAAGTTTAATTTGTCTTCACCTGGCTCACTACTTTGAAACTTTTTTTTCTTTAAATATTTCTACGTTTTTTATTTTACCAGGCATAGCCCACTTGAGCTACACCGCTCGTTTTCAGAAGCGACCTGCCCACAACGCAGTGGGCTTATCAACGTGTGGAATGTTTATCGGTCAAATACTCTAAACGCGTGGTGATGTTGACTCTAAATGTGCAGGGAAAACCGCAGGATCCGGAGGAAAATCCACGCGACCACGGAGAGAGAGGGACACGCAAACTCCAAATATACAGCCATAATACAGGTTTGTTTGTGTGAGATCGCGTAAATAAATCAATGTGTCGTTAACCCCGCCACCACCCGACAGCCAATTAGCAAGGGTTGTCACGTAAACAGAACGTGGACCATGTCACTAGTACAGCACTAGTGTGTAGTGTAGTGTATAGTAGTGTATAGTGTAGTGTATGGTAGTGTATAGTGTAGTGTACTAGTACAGCATATCGGTATGTTGGAGAGCCAAGCCACAACATTTACAATCTGAGTACGACGTTTTGACAGTACAGTGGTACCCCGGGGATCGAACTTAATTCGTTCCAGAAGGCCATTCGAACACCGATTTGTTGGAACACCGAATTAATTTCCCCCATAAGAGTTAATGTTAAGGACATGAATTGGTTCCAGACACAATACATCTCTCATATACAGCATTTTTACACGAAGTTTACAGTAATTACATGAATAAAAAAAAAAAAAAACACAAAAATGAAATAAATGAACATTGAACTTCACTACCACTAACCTTCTTAGGAGACATTGTGTATGGATAAACACCAAAAAACACTAAAAAAGGAAATTAACTAAAAAGTTAAGGAACGATGTTTTGCCGGTCTGCACTGGGTGAGAGCTACGCGTTAACTAAGCCTCTCATGGTAAAACATTTGTCTGGGTAAGCGTCATGCATGCTGGCCATACACGTCTCAGCCAAACAGGTTTTTTCAAGTCGTGATTGCCCGTTCGACCTCCGAATTTCGTTCGGTTTCCGGGGCAAAAAAATGGTCGGAAATATCGTTCTAACACCGATTTGTTCGAGTTCTGGTGCGTTCCATCTCCGAGATTCTTCTGTAATTTCAACAAACTTCATCAGGCGACAGCCAAATGTTGTGGCTTGGCTCTGTGGGAATATAAATTGGCTCACTGGGTTCATAGCGCAGCACGCTAACTGTTGCACCACCGCTCCCCACTCACGCAAAAACTTCATCGGAAGTATAGTATTTTTCCAGTAATGACTAAGTTACCGGCTTAGCTCAGGTCTCAGTAATCAAACATTAAGAGTAATGTCTTGCCATTCTGACTTTATTACAATTATTGAATTTTGCCAATGAAGTCTGTAAATGTGTGTATATTGTCTCGGTTTTTTGGTTGTGTTATACAATATCAGGGCTTGTTTGTTTCATAATGAGGACAACTTCTAAATCAGTGGCCCTTGGAGAGCTTCATGATAGACAATGTTGGATGTTTTGCCATCTGGTGGGTTTCATCAAATGAAGCTTCCATTTTGGTATACATGTCGACAGAAAATTTGTGGAAGAGCTCTTTGCATCTCAAGAACAGATTGAAGTTGCCGTTCGCACCATGATCCTGAAGGCAAAGCAGTCCATGGCGGAAATCTTCTTTTGTGTTGGCAAGCCTGTTGCTAGGTCCGTTTGGCGAAGTCGGAAAATTGTAGCCATCATCACCTTGCCAGAAAATCAGTAGACATTGCAGAGCATCATAGGATCGGTGTGTTTCATTTCTGTGTAGGGTGTTGTTCCTCAGTTGCAAGACGATGCCTCGAGTGCCATGTTCAGCAGTCAGAATGACAGCGACTTCAGATGTGAGTGCATTTAAGCGGCACTCATGTTGACCATGTGGATTTTAGTCTGCATGAATGACAACATTGTAACTCTGAAGTCATTTTTTACATGGCACACTTGAAACTGAATGTAAGAGTTTTCCTTATGGAGCATGTCTTGCAACAGCAATAGGACTGGCATCTTGGTGTTTATGACATTTTTGCAATGCTGGTGAGCCTGTCTGGTATTGTCAGATATGCAAGTAGATCTCTGGTAATGTAGGTAGGTTATTAGGTAGTGGCAGCAGACTGACAATGCGAGTATGTACCTGGCCCTGCACTTAAATGTGGCATGTAGCCAGATGTTACGATGAGTTGGTCGGTGCCAAAACATGATCATTTGGAACCATGAGTTATATTTTAAATTGTTGTTTTGGAAATGGCTTTTCAGGTATCAATACATGAATAGGCTCGGTATGGTCATTAATTGTAGGAAGCTGAACCATGGTACTGTTGCAGAATAGCCTTGGAGGGTCTCCTTTCAATGTCATTGTATGGCAGTAGCTGCAAGAAGTAGACATGGAACCAATGCAACTAATGGATCGGTGTAATGAAGTGAGAAAATTTATGGAAAAACATACTTATCCTTTTGGCTGCAGGGTAGGCACCTGGTTGCAGCCATTGTAGTACTGTTTGCAAGCTGAGGTGCTTGTTGGCGGACTGGAGTCTATTAGCTGTTGCAACAGCCAATTGTGCTGTGGTTACTTTCTGTGGAGCTTATTGCTTTTGATGAGATGCATTCACTGTAGGTGCAGGCATAGCAGCACTGGCAGCATGCCGTCTTGTTTGGTGTTCAGCAGTGTCCTCAATAGGTGCAGCCATCGCAGCACTTATACAAATAGCATCAATTATTGTAATCCGCTTTGGTGAAGAGAAGCGGCATGTTTTCCGCAGGAAATTATAGGTGGAGGTAAAAGTTAGTAAGCAGAAAAAAGCATGAATAGTGAGTGTGTGAGTAAATGCTGTGGTGAGATTATTTATTAAATTATAGTGAATGTGGAATCGTTGTAAGAATATGAAGACATAGCTGCAACGGAATAAAGTATGAGGATGTAAGTTGTTGGAGGGAGTAATTGTTTGTAGTGCTTGAAGTGGGTATGAATAGTATGTGTGTGGTGGTGCGTATACACAAAATAAGTTGAATGTGTGTGTGCGTGCTTTTTATTCCTTACAGGCGATCTAGACTTGATTTATTTTGTCGTAGCTGTTGCATAGCGTCTATATTGTGTAGGAGGAGGTCGGTAGTCCTGGACATAGATGTAGATATTTTAGAATCGTACATGTCTTTTTAAAATAAATATTGCAGTGTGTGTTAGAGGTGAGCCGTGCATGTGCATAGAGGACAGTAAGGAGCTGGAAGTGGATGAATTTGGCAGCAAAAGCGCAGGTCTGATAATAGGGAAGGATAACATGGTAAATATGACAACAAATATTGCAGTGCAGACACTTATGTTATGATGAGTGCTTGGAATTGTAGTATATGAAATGTCATAATGTGTTTGCGTGTGTGGCTAACCCATGGTGATAGAAATGGAGGGGGGGGGGGAGGAATGGTGGGGGGTTGGAGTGTGCAGGTGTCTGAGGTTTGAAGTTGAGCAGGTAAGCTAAAAATAGTGTGACAAACACACTAACTCACCTGTGAGTACTCATTGAATGTTTACGCTGTGTAGGTTTAATGGTGTTGGCACAATTTGGTTCACAAAAAATTTACATGCGCAAAGTCTGCTTTATTTAATTAGCTTCATACTATTTTTCGTCTTCAATTTTTTTTTGTTTACGGTTTCTGAATGTTTATTTCAATTGTTTAGTTTTTAGTTGATTTGGAATGCACTACAGTACTTGTTTCGATTGTGATGTGAATTTTATATTCTTATTCTTGGTTCTTTCGGTAAAGTCACGTAGAAGGGAAATAATAAAATAATAATAAAAAACGATAAATATGCCTCGAAGCCCTATGTTAACCAAAACTCGAAGCATACAATTTCGGTTGTCTGATTAGAAAATGAATATTTATGAAAGCTAAATTCAGCTAACAAAGCAAAGGGTGTTGAAAATAATACTGTTTGTATTATGCATAAATTAATGTTCAAACGAAACTTAGAGGTGTGAAGCCAGGCTTAAGTATTGAATATCGCACTTTTAGCTTTCGCTCAGCAATTTCCAAGAAGGTAATTTATTTTCTGTCGATCGAGTACAGAAGAGGAGTACGGATTTTTAGCGGAAACTCGATTTCTGCATTTTTATATAATTAATGCCTATAGTATCATAAAGAGGCTTGGGGCTTTTGGTTGTTTGTTTCGGGTCCAGTTCCACTTGTTGGAGACTCAGTGGAACGTAGACCCTAGATGTAGACGAAGGTTTCTTAAGGTTGAACAACAACGCCGGTTCCTCTGGGGGACCCGGCTTATATTCTCTGCGGTTTGGCTGGCTCCCTCCCTTGGCCACGACCACTTTCCAGAATCCTCGAGCAGGATCTGGACCCCGACCACGGGACCACCCCTAGCCCCCACTTGGGGCCCCTTCGTAGACTTAACTGGTCACGTGTCCTCTCGGGTCAACCAGAGTGCCATGGCCTTTAGTAACCTCATTCCTACGGCCGTCACTCCCACACCCTATCCTGTAGGGCCAGCACTGCATGCCAAGCGTGGTGCCATCCTGCGCTATCAATCAGCGCTCTAGGGCTGGTACGACACCCACCATAGTGGTATCCGCGATGTCGTTACACCGCACGCCGTGCCTCTCGAGGGCCAGCACGACACAGTGACATCCCGCGATGTCACTAGATCTGTAAGAGTTTATCTGTGGGGAGCGGTGGCGCAGTTATTACACTGTGTAACAAAAAAACATTTTTGTTCCTGGGTAGTGTTATTTCCTCATTGCCTATTCCTCAAAAGTACAGATTATTCCCCACAACTTTGCTTTTTTGATCAGGACATATAGAATCTAAATGAGAAAACGGGCTAATTTGTGTCTTTTCGTTCACATAAAGTCCTGGTCACAAAAGCAAAGTTTGTGGGGAATAATAGCGATTTTGTATACTTTTTAGGCATAAGCAATTAAAAAATAACACTTTGTACACAGGAACAAAAATTGTGTTACATAGTATTATTACTGTATTATGAATTCAATAATTTGAGTTTGATTATCTCCGACAACAAACGTGATTGATAAGTGAAAACTTAACTTCTTGTGGGTCTCGGCTATGTTGATTGATCTTCAATTAATTACTTGGTGAAGTGAGAGAAGCATTCATATTGAGCAGATGAAGGTGGCCAGGCATGGTTCTGGACACACCACCACCTTTTTACCATGCCAGTGTGTAACAGTGTCAAGTTTGTATTTGCAGTAAAGTATATTAACTCTATTGAACACGGAGGTTAAATCAAAACAATAGTTTATTTTTGTTTTTCTTTGGAACTTTTTACGAAAATGAACACGACACATATGCAGCTGAAGTTAGATCTGTTCATCCCAGCATTCAAGAAAATCTGAGCCTGGCTTCACACCTCTAAGTTTCGTTTGAACATTAATTTATGCATAATACAAACAGTATTATTTTCAACACCCTTTGCTTTGTTAGCTGAATTTAGCTTTCATAAATATTCATTTTCTAGTCAGACAACCGAAATTGTATGCTTCGAGTTTTGGGTTAACATAGGGCTTCGAGGCATATTTATGACTATTTGCCCTCATTGTTTGTCATAACAGCCCGTGTGATGAATTTGGGAATATTAATAAGTGTAGACGTGTAAGTCATATGTGCCTCGATACTTACGTAGATGGTGTGGATATTCTCTTTTTTCTGTCTGCAGCTGACGTTTCCTCTGACGCTTCCTCTGCAGAATTGGTCTGATGGAGCAAAGGCACTCAGCGCAGTTTGGTACAAAAATGCAACAATGCGACCAGTGTGCATACAGCACGGATCGTCCTGGACATTTCACACAGCACCAGAGAACTCACACAGGAGAGAAACCCTTCAGGTGCACTCTGTGCGGGAAGGCGTTTGCCGAGTCATCACATCTTAAACTACACCAGAGAACACACACGGGAGAGAAACCCTTCAAGTGCAGTGTGTGTGGGAAGGCATTTTCAAATTCATCTGCTCTTAAAAAACACCGGAGAACACACACAGGAGAGAAACCCTTCAAGTGCAGTCTGTGCGGGAAGGTGTTTTCACAGTCATCTGGTCTTGTATTGCACCAGAGAACACACACGGGAGAGAAACCCTTCAAGTGCAGTCTGTGCGGGAAGGCGTTTGCAGTGTCATCACATCTTAAACAACACCAGATAACACACACAAAAGAGAAACCTTTCAAGTGCACTGTCTGTGAGAAGTCATTTGCATGGTCATCAGGTCTTAATTGCCACCAGAGAACACACACGGGAGAGAAACCCTTCAGGTGCACTGTGTGCGGGAAAGCATTTGCAGGTTTATCAAATCTTAACAGACACCAGAGGACATACATCATCAGAAGATCCCCAAGGAGTGGAGTCTGAAATCGGCTTGTGAAAGTCAAAGTGCTGCAATGAGCCCATCCCTCATGAAACCAGAACTAAATCCCAGCATGGACACTTTTAAAGGTATCAAGGTGAAATGTGAAGAGGCGAAGGTGAAATGTGAAGTGATGGTGAAGAGCGAAAAAGTGACAGTAAACTGTGAAGATGAAGATTCAACTCCAAAATCGGACCTTCACATCGATGGGGCAACGTGAAGCAGGAGGAGAATTCTGACTGTGAGTCAGAGCGAGGCACCTCCCAACAGTTTGTGGAAGTGGAGGTGTGGGTGGACTTCTTAGACAATGCAAAGTCAAATGGAGACCCGGTAGATGTGTAAGCTTAATGAAGCTCCAATAGATTCACCTTTGTCACAGGCCTTTAATGAAAATGAACGTGAAGTCGAACACTCAATTCCTGGGTTCAGCCTGCAGAATAAGAGCGGCGAGTATTTGTTGACCTGTGGGTTGGGTAGATGAATAATCAGGATCAAGAGACAATATGCTCCCAAGTATTCCACTGTTATATTTATATTTGCATTGATATGGTGCTTGCTTTATTGCCTTAGCAACTCAGTTGTTTCATGTCTCATCACAGACACTCGAAGAGCACCTTCAAGTGGCAGCTGCCTCTGTGTGATAAGGTGACCCTGCTTGAGCCTGCATGTGGGCATGAGTCTGTCAGTAGGGAGTGATGATCGATGTGTAATCTCCATTATGTAATTTCTGGATAATGTTTGGAATTATCCAAATATTGACCATGACCCCAACATGCAATGACCTATGCGTTTTGAATGACAATAGTATGTTTTACATCCACTGTTAAGCAGACGGTGCATATTTGGTTTAATGTTACTGGAGTAGCCAGGGGTGCCTGTCGGATTTGAGCCTTGAACCTCTGTAATAAATAGAGAATGTGCTACCACTGGGCTTCCCTTAATCTGAGTGTAGGCATGACAGCCTGAATGTTTCTAACCGGAGCAGATGTTCAATTTAGAGGGGTCCACGTTTTACATGGCTACAGAAGGGAGGGCATTACTGTGGCCGAGAAGAACCGAAGCTTCATGCGAGTGACAGACCAGGTAGCTTCCACACAGCATTGCGCAGCCGATGAAATGATAATGCCGCCCGACTGATTCGGACCACCCACACAGTGTACACACACCATGTCTACACAGAGCGTACACAGTGTACCCGCACAGTATACAAACAGCCTGTACACACACAGTAACAAAACAACCGCCATTTGTCACTAAGTGTTAATGAGCCCGGCACATTATCATAATTTATTCATATTGGTTCTTTCGGTAAAGTCACGTAGAATGGAAATAATAAAATAAAAATAAAACTATAAAATAATTCTCACGTTTCGGCCACAACGCAAGCAGCCGTCACCAGGTGAAGACCAGGTCTGTCGATTTTACCGAAAGAACCAAGAATATGAACCCTGCAGTCACGAAAGCTTTAAATCGAAATATAATTTATTCACCATTGTAACCTCATTTGCCAGAGGAAAAAATATGATAATTTTTTTTTACCCCTTTTAGCTGTCAACAAAACTGATCTGGTCCAACACCATGTGAGACTAGGCTCTTAAGGAAAGCTGTCTTGGGTGTGGACCAATCAACTTCAAGGACAGTGCATACATTATCAGAGTTATATTTTTCGTTTGTATTACGACTGCAGGTATTGTGGTCTATGCAAACATGACTCCTTGTAAAAAAGGTGTCAGTTTTGTTGCCAGATAAAATGGTAAAACAAATTATAATTTTTCGATTTAAAGCTTTCGTGACTGCAGGGATTCATCTTCTTGGTTCTTTCGGTAAAGTCACGTAGAAGGGAAGTAATAAAATAAACGTCGTGAGAATTATTTTATTATGTTTTATTTTTATTATTTTATTACTTCCCTTCTACGTGACTTTACCGAAAGAACCAAGAAGATAAATTATAATTTATTCAAGTTACACTGCTGCTCGATAGGGGAGGGGATTGTGTGGACCCCGCAAGTGACGTCATGTCACCTTGCCGCATGACGTCACGGCATACCAGGAAGCTTCTGCTCCGCGCACGTTCGCGCACGGAGATCCGTGGTGAGAAGATTACATCGTGGTGGTTGTGGTTATTGTTGTGGTTGTTGTTGTGAACCTAGGTAGAGCCTCGCTCCTTCTCCCTCTCGTATGGATATCAATTGAGTAGCAGCGAGTATGGAATCGATGTCCAGGTTGGAACATTACAACGCAGGGCCTAGCCATGCGGGGCCTTGCCTCCTGCCCTCGCCTGATTGCATTTGCTTTAATTCTCAGCTTAAGTTTAATTTGTCTTCACCTGGCTCACTACTTTGAAACTTTTTTTTACTTTAAATATTTCTACGTTTTTTTATTTTACCAGGCATAGCCCACTTGAGCTACACCGCTCGTTTTCAGAAGCGACCTGCCCACAACGCAGTGGGCTTATCAACGTGTGGAATGTTTATCGGTCAAATACTCTAAACGCGTGGTGATGTTGACTCTAAATGTGCAGGGAAAACCGCAGGATCCGGAGGAAAATCCACGCGACCACGGAGAGAGAGGGACACGCAAACTCCAAATATACAGCCATAATACAGGTTTATTTGTGTGAGATCGCGTAAATAAATCGATGTGTCGTTAACCCAGCCACCACCGGACAGCCAATTAGTAAGGGGCTTGTCACGTAAACAGAACGTGTCCAATGCGTCACTAGCACAGCACTAGTGTGTAGTGTAGTGTATAGTGTAGTATATAGTAATGTATAGTGTAGTATATAGTAGTGTAGTGTATAGTGTAGTGTATAATAGTGTAGTGTACTAGTACAGCATATAGGTGTGTTGGAGAGCCAAGCCACAACATTTACCATCTGAGTACAACTTTTTACAGTAATTACAACCAGCTTCATCAGGTGACGGCCAAATGTTGTTTTTGGCTCTGTGGGAATATAAATAGGCTCACTGGGTTCATAGCGCAGCACGCTAACCGTTGTACTACTGCACATGCACAAACTTAATCGGAAGTATAGTATTTTTCCAATAACTAAGTTAACCGGCTTAGCGCAGGTCTCAGTAATCAAACATGCTGGCTTTATTACAATTATTGAATTCTGCCAATGAAGTCTGTAAATGTGTGTATATTGTCACGGTTTTGTGGTTGTGTTATACAATTGCAGGGCTTGTTTGTTTCATAATGAGGACAGCTTTTAAATACATTGCCCTTGAAGAGCTTCAGCATAGACAATGTTGGATGTTTTGCCATCTGGTAGTGTTGGCACAATTTGGTTCACATGCACAAAGTTTGCTTTATTTATATAGATTGTTTCCATTTTGTCTTGCAAATGTTTTTGTGTATGGTTTCTCAATGTTCATTTCAATTGTTTAGTTATTTTTATTTTACTTTTACCTCATGCCATTATTTAGGTAAGGCTTAAGTATTGAATATCGCACTTTTGGCTTTGCGAGGCACTTTCCCAGATCGTAACCTCTGATATTCAAGGGGCTGAGGATTACGGATTTTCAGCAGAAACTATATCTCTGCTTTATTGATGTAATTAAGGCATATAGTACCATATAGAGGCTTGGGGCTTTGGGTTCTTTGTTTTTTATGTCTCTGCCTCTGCTCACATTCTTTGATGATTTTTATGATTTTGGGCAAGCCCGTCTAAAGCTGCGTGACCAGGAGTTGGAGCCATTTCCTGTTCAACTTGGCTTGTGACAGAAATTCACTCTGGCCCCATGCATTACATTACAGAGCATCTTCAATAATTATGTCGTTTGAGAAGCTCTCAATGGCCATAGAAATAAATTGCATTTGTTACGGTTAAAATTATACGCGCATCGATGCCTGGTTATAGTTAAGGGATCGTTCCCTGGTCAACCATGTTATATATGCTGATGATCTGGTCATGGCTACTCAATGAGATGGGGTTAGAGAATCTTGTTCTGTGCCTGGATAATTCCATCATGAAATGGTTCTTATCATATGTTCCTCAACAAAACATCACCTGCCTGAGAATTTGATTTCATACAACACTATACCTGCTCAACTCTCCATGAGTAATCAGGCTGTTCTACAAGTGGTGGAGGAGCTCCCATACCTGGTTAATGTGTTCACGACCAGCTCTGGTTTGGCAGCCAAAGTCTCACTTTAAATTTGTCTAGCAGCATTCTTTCATTAGACTGTGTAACACTGTGTGGACACTTCCTGGACTTTTCCTCCCTACAAAGCTGTGAGTGTCCATCGCCAAGGTCTAGTCTACTAGCATCGCACCCGCCTCTCTTCGTACTGTGGATGGTGGACGCACAGGACGGTGCCACGTAGCCATTCCAGGCTGGACACAAATGGATTACATGAGTCACCTAGCCACCAGGCCTCGTTTCATGAGTGATATCAATATAGAATATCTGTGAGGAGGCCCCCAATAGACTGCCCCTGGAACTCTACCGGGCACGTCCCACTGGGGGAAGTCATCGGGGCCTGGCCCTTGGACATGCTGGTGGGAATATGTCGCTTGACTGGCTTGGGAACGCCTGGGAATTCCCCAGGAAGAGCTCGAGTCTGTCGCCAGGGAAAGGGAGGTCTGGACTGCCCTACTCAATGTGCTGCCGCCACAACCCTCAACCAAGACGAGAGGATTTAGAAATGAATGAACGAACAAAGCTGTGAGTCTTCTTGGCCACAGATATTACTCCTTTCTCTGTGGATGCAAAATATTATCTTATTTAAAGGACCGTCTGTTCTGGCTTATAATTAAGGCTGGCCTGCCTATAATTCCCTCTATTGAACCAAACAAGATTGTATTAGAACCTTGCAGATCCTTAAAATATCAGTCCAGAATATAATCAATGAGTCTCTTTGGCAGGCCGAGCTGCATTGGTTGGGTCATGAATCCCACATAAACAGACAACATGCTCAAGCATCTTCTGTTAGTCCAGATGTTACGGGCTAATTAGGTATGGCATTACTCTTTGGTTCTTTCGGTAAAGTCACGTATAAAGATAAAATAATAAATTAAATAATAGCATACGACGTTTCGATTGCAACACAAGCAAGCATCATCAGGTATAAATGAAATAGCAACAAAAATCTAACCAGAAAACTATAGACAGACATATAAGCAGACAGATATCACCAAGATACATATCTTGGTGATATCTGTCTGCTTATATGTCTGAGATACATATCTTGGTGATATGTCTGCTTATATGTCTGTCTATAGTTTTCTGGTTAGATTTTTGTTACTATTTCATTTATACCTGATGATGATTGCTGGTGTTGCAATCGAAACGTCGTATGCTATTATTTAATTTATTATTTTATCTTTATACGTGACTTTACCGAAAGAACCAAAAAGTAATTCCTGCAGTCACGAAAGCTCAAATTTAAGGTATGGCATTGTCTAGAGAAGAGATTGGAGGATGTGGAGGTGATCAGACCTGCTGATGACTGGTACCAGGAGTGTCAAGGTCGGCCTCTGTATAGGAGGCCCGTGATATATGCTGCAGGGCAGGTAGAGATATTTTCTCTACAACAACAGTGAGGTCAGAGTAGCAACGCTTAAATGAATGGGTGGAACGCTAGGTGCCTAAAATGCAGCAAGACTGCAGGAAGCACAGCTGGTGCGTCTGTTAATCATCTCAGTCACTCATCCCTTGACACATGGATCATTCCCATGACCTCCTGACAAGTGATCACTACAGTATGTGTAGTGAGTTCAACTGAGTCGCAGACGTACACTTGGAGGCAACACATTTAACACCAACACACGGGGTAACTGCCCCTTAACAGAAAAACAACCTATGGTGGTGACCACCAGGCTAACTACACTAATTACAACACAACGAGCTACGACGGACCGGGACTACAGCATGGGTCCAGTTCCACGTGTTGGAGACTTGGTGGAACGAAGACGAAGGTTTCTTCGGGTTGAACAACAACGCCGGCCCCTCTAGGGGACCCGGCTTATATTCTCTGCGGTGTGGCTGGCTCCGCCCTTGGCCACGACCACCTTCCAGATCCTCAAGCAGGATCTGGACCCCGACCATGTGACCACCCCTAGCCCCTACTTTAGGCCCCTTTGTGGACTTGTCACGTGTCCTCTCGGGTCATCCAGATTGCCTTTCGTAACCTCATTCCTACGGCCGGTACTCACACACCCTATCCTGTAGTGCCGGCACTGCACGCCAAGCATGGTGCCATCCTGCGCTATCAGTCAGCGCTCACCGTGCCCCTTTAGGGCCGGTAGTACACCCATCATAGTGGTATCCGCGATGTCGTTACACCGCATGCCATGTTTCTCTAGGGCCGGCACTACACAGTGACATCCCGCGATATCACTACATCTGTAAGAGTTGATTTATGTGGTGAGCGATGGCGTAGTTATTACACTGTGTAACAAAAAAACATTTTTGTTCCTGGGTAGTTATTTCCTAATTGCCTATGCCTCAAAAGTACAGAAAATGCTATTCCCCACAAACTTTGCTTTTCTGACTAGGACAGTGATATTTTGAAACGTGCCTATTTTCAATGATAAAATGGGCGAATTTGTGTCTTTTCTTTCACATAAAGTCCTGGTCACAAAAGCAACGCTTGTGGGGGATAATAGCGATTTTCTATACTTTTTAGGCAAAATAAATTGAAAATAACACTTTGTACCCAAGAACAAGATATGTTTTACATCGTATTATCATTGTATTATGAACTCAATAATTAGAGTTTGATTATCTCCGACAACAAACGTGATTGATAAGTGAAAACTTAACTTCTTGTGGGTCTCGTCTGTGTTGATTGATCCTCAATTAATTACTTGGTGAAGTGAGGAAGCATTAATATTGAGCAGATGAAGGTGGGCAGGCATGGTTCTGGACACACCACCACCTTTTTACCATGCCAGTATGTGACGGTGTAAAGTTTGTATTTGCAGTAAAGTATATTAACTCTTTTGAACACGGAGGTTAAATCAAAATAATAGTTTATTTTGTTTTCCTCTGGAACTTTTTATAAGAATGGAAACAGGAAATTAACACAGCACATATGCAGCTGAAGTTAGATCTGTTCATCCCAGCATTCATGGAAATCTGAGCCTCGCTTCACACCTTGAAGTTGTGATTAAGTTGTGATTGAACATTAATTTAAGCTTTGTTAGCTGAATTTAGCTTTTATAAATATTAATTTTTTAGCCAGACAACCGAAATTGTGTGCTTGGAGTTTGGGTTAACATTCATTTTGAAGATACTTGGGCTTACAGGCATATTTATGACCATTTGCCCTCTCATTGTTTGTCATAACAGCCCGTGTGATGAATTTGGAAATATGTTTCACTATATCATGAACATGTCAATAAGTATAGATGTGTAAGTCATGTGTAACTGTGTATATAATTATTCCTCTGTGCCTCGATACTGATGTAGATGGTGTGGATATTCTCTTTTTTCTGTCTGCAGCTGACGCTTCCTCTGCAGAATTGGTCTGATGGAGCAAAGGCGCTCAGCGCAGCTTGGTACAAAAAGGCAACAATGCGACCATTGTGCATACAGCACGGATCAAACTGGACATTTGACACAGCACCAAAGAACTCACACAGGAGAGAAACCCTTCAAGTGCACTTTGTGTGACAAGGCATTTGCATGGTCATCAGGTCTTCATCACCACGAGAGAACACACAAAGGAGAGAAACTCTTTAGGTGTACTCTGTGCGGGAAGGCGTTTGCACAATCACCACATCTTCAAATACACCAGAGAACACACACGGGAGAGAAACCCTTCAAGTGCAGTGTGTGTGGGAAGGCGTTTTCACAGTCATCTAATCTTGTATCACACCAGAGAACACACACAGGAGAGAAACCCTTCAGGTGCACTTTGTGCGGGAAAGCGTTTTCAGGCTTATCAAATCTTAAAACACACCAGAGAACACACACGGGAGAGAAACCCTTCAAGTGCAGTCTGTGCGGGAAGGCGTTTACAGTGTTATCACATCTTAAACAACACCAGAGAACACACACAAAAGAGAAACCTTTCAAGTGCACTGTCTGTGAGAAGGCATTTGCATGGCCATCAGGTCTTAATTGCCACCAGAGAACACACACGGGAGAGAAGCTCTTCACGTGCACTCTCTGCGGAAGGCGTTTGCTCAGTCATCCATTCTTAAAACACACCAGAGGACACACAATCATCAGAAGATCCCAAGGAGTGGAGTCTGAAATCGGCTTGTGAAAGTCAAAGTGCTGCAATCAGCCCATCCTCATGAAACCAGAACTAAAGCCCAGCTTGGACACTTTTGAAGGTATCAAGGTGAAATGTGAAGAGGCGAAGGTGAAATGTGAAGTAGTGATCAAGAGCGAAGAAATGACGATGAAATGTGAAGTGATGGTGAAGAGAGAAGTGATGGTAAACTGTGAAGATGAAGATTCAACTCCGAAATTGGACCTTCACATCGGAGGGTGGCAACGTGAAGCAGGAGGAGATTTCTGACTGTGAGGCAGAGGGAGGCAACTCCCAGCAGTTTGTGGAAGTAGAGGTGTGGGTCGACTTCTTAGACAATACAAAGTCAAATGGAGACCCGGTAGATGTGTAAGCTTGGGACAATGAAGCTCCAATAGATTCACCTCTGTCACAGGCCTTTAATGAAAAGAACGTGAAGTCGAACACTCAATTCCTGGGTTTAACCTGCAGAGTAAGAGCGACCAGTATTTGTGGATCTGTGGGTTGGGTAGATGATTAACCATGAGCAAGAGCCAATAAGCTCCCAAGTGTTGTATATATTAGGTCTTGAAAAAGAATGAAAATTAAATGATAACTGAAAATGCGCAATGTTTTGAAATGATGCTAATTATGTATTTATGCTATATCTCGGGGTATTACCAATCGTGATAATAATATAAAGGTGTAATTGTATGAAGTTATGCAAGTGTATGTAATTATGCGAATTAGGCTCTGCTTCGTTGTCTCAGGGTGTATTACCAATCGTGCTAATACATTGACTTAAAGCTGGATTCATATTCTTTGGACCTTTCGGTAAAGTCACGTAGGTAGGTTTTTGTTATTTTCTTTGAACCTATCAACGTGACTTTACCGAAAGACCTAAAGAATATAATACAGTCTTTCTCGCTTGATCATTTACCGATTATGTTTTAGTGTGTTTATGTCAGGTCTCAAAATTCAGATCTCACCGCAGGATACAGTTCTTATAATTATGATTATTACGAATGAACTTAGGAAGGGACACTCAGACTCTTCTGCGTTAAGCAACTTTAATATCTAAAAACAAAACACTGTAATATGCTAACTCTTACGCTAGGAATTGTCAACCCAGTATTCCTGGAAATGTTCTACTCATTGATCCATACAAGTAACCCTCAATGGTTATGTTTATTAACTGGATAACAGAACAATATGCTAATTGCTCAGAGTAAAGCGACCATACACGCCGATAGGAAAAAAGTCCTTAAGAATCTGTTACAATATTCATACGAACAGTAGTAAAGAAACATGTGCCCAAGGCCAAAGTAGTTTTCAATGAATTAATTGGTATGATTATGCAATTGATCGAAATGCCCTGGAACAATAATGTGTGTCAGTGTGCCTGTTTGCCTAATAAATGCTTATCAATTGGTTAATGGGCTTGAATCCGCGGGCAAGATTCCGTGATCAAAAGAAATAAATCTCAACACAATAGTATTCCTGTGAGTGTGTAGATTCATAACATCGCTTATAAATGTTTAACGTCAATTAATGTATTGCTAAAGCTATGCAATTAACGAACCGAATGACTAAAATACTTCTATACGACCTTATTCAAGCAGCTCAATGGACCAGACAATGTTTTCCACGATCAGCTAATAGTTAACGCACCACCTTAGGATGGCCTTTTCGAAACAAAGATCACTTTTGGAGCAATCTTATTAGTTCCCGATATGTGTGTTGTGTGTGTGGGTGTATTGTCTTCGTGCTCAACTCTTTGAGTGAAGCCGGCGCCGAGGTGGGGCTTTCCTTGTACGGAGAATACCTCTGTTCGCTTGCCTCCTGGGCGATGAGTCGTGTGTGTGTGTGTGTGCGGGCGTGTCATACACACGGCGCTCTCTCTTGATAGCAGCTCCAAGCTTCTCCACTGCTGGATGATTGTTGAGTCTGCACGATGATTGCCTTTGGCGGTGCCCGATATCGCTCGCAGCTCGTCCGCTGGTCGCCAGCGCTGACACTTAGGGGTTAATTTTCGAAGGCCGTCAACGAAAAGTTCATGCATTTGGGTGTGCATAAAACATTGGCGACGTTGAAAAAGGACTTTTACAGGCCGGGATGTAGAGTGATGTCTCCTGATTAGAGGTTGTGTCGATTGTGCGCATCGGAAATCTCCTGCCACGCGACCGCAGATTCCGTCACAGTCCATTGTTGTGTCATGGCTGAATGAATTTGTGGCCCTGGACAATTTGGGTCCCTTCCCGGTCTCCCAGAGATGGCACAAGTACCTCCTCGTGGGGGTCGAATATTTGACTCATTGGCCTATGGCCTGGCCCTTGGTTGACCAGTCAACTGCGTCTATAGCCGACGCCTTTGTGAATGGCTATGTCCTGGATAAGGGGGCCCCGGAGCAACTGCTCACGATCAGGGTATTAATTTCTCCTCAAATTGCTCCAGGATGTGTGAGTCTTTGGGCAGGCGGAAAATACGCACCTCACTGTATCATCTGCAGACTGACGGGATGGTTGAGCGGTTGCATAGAACCCTCACCGCTATGCCAGCAAGTGACTGGCGGACAGGCGGATTGGGATCTGCACTTCCCGGGGGTCCTTGCTGCATACAGACTTGCTCCGCATGCCTCGACAGGTTTCTCACCGTTTTATTTGATGTATGGGAGGGAACCCGAACCCCTTGTGCAAGTTGAGTTGGGATGAGCCCCCTGCGGAAAGGTTCAGCAGTGCTTGACCCATATTGAAAACACTGGAGCAGCTACGGTTGGGCCGTGAAGCCGCTCGGGTCAACTCGGCCCGCAGACAGGCCCGGCGCTGGTTTGTGCATCCTTTACGGTTAAAAACTACGTTCTGTCCGGTCCGGTCGATTCATCCCCACATCCTGCCGGCCGGTGTCTGATGTGTCTGGTACGCCAACCGGCAAGCCTAAAGTAACAGGCCGTGAGGAGGAATGTTATGTACTGCCTGCAGGGCTGGAGGATCTAAAGACCACGGACGGAGCCTTGTGGACTCCCTCATCGGACACTCATCACACTCAAGCAGACCCGTCTCGACCTGCGGGGATGGGCCTGCTGCACATACCCATTCGCGACGCGTTGTTTTTCGTTAATTCCCCATTCCCTTGTTCTTGTTTATTTTCATGATCACTGCTTATGATTGTCTTGTAGTTAGGGGTCGGTCACTGGTCACTATAGAGTTGTGTTTATGGGTTGTCACGTTGCGTGCGCACAAGGGATGTATATTACAGCCAGGATGGCTGCGTTTTTGTTCGTGGGGGGGGGGGGGGATGTAGTGTGGTAAAATACGTGGTGCGCACTGCTGCCCGAGGGCAACCGAGAACAGGCAGGTGTGCGTGTGCAAAGTAAGGTTGCATTTGCAAACCGCCACCTCTTTATCGGGAGAGCAGACGGGTCGGTCCGGGGTTATACGCTGATGTAGTGGTGATACGCGCTGGCAGGGATAGTGTGGCAGCGCGTGGTGATTGGCTGTGTGTCGGTGACGCGCGCTGACGGTGAGGGATCATAGGCCAGCGCGGGGTCATGGGTTATGTGGTGGTGATTGGCTGTATGTTGGTGACGCGCGCTGACAGGGAGTGATCGTGTGGCAGCGCGGCGTGATTGGTTGTGTGGTGGTAACACGTGCTGGGGGGAAACGGATCGTACGGCAGCGCGTCGTGATTGGTCGACTAAGGTGGGTGCTCACATCGCGGTCCGCATAGTCTCCGTCTCCTCGGGAGCGGAGGGCTATATAAGGCGGTGCGCGCGGGCGCTCGGGAGTTGGTGACCAGTGAAGACGGAAGACGGAGGAGGAGGAGATAGGGCCCTGAGACCCCTAGTCCGCCAGTCCTTGTAAGGACCGGGACTCTGTGTGGCTCAGAGGCGGGACCTTGGACCCGGGGCTGGACGTCCGTGTGAGGGCCGGGCCACGGGACCCAGTGGTCGTGACCCATACCCAAGCTGGGGTGGGTCTGTAGGTTCCCCTGGAAGCTACGGGGCTGGAGAGCCCGTGTGTGTGTAGCCGGGTGGAACGGGGGAACAGTGAGCTGTAGTGACCACACGTGTTAGTGTGGCAGGAACAGTGAGCTGTAGTGACTACACGTGTTAGTGTGGCAGGAACAGTGAGCTGTAGTGACCACGTGTTATTGTGGCAGGAACAGTGAGCTGTAGTGACCACACGTGTTATTGTGGAAAGAACAAGTTATAATAAAGTGTGCTACCGTCAAGTGGTCTCCCGCCGTAGGTTATTATACTACACTGACACCAGAGGTGTCGCCTTGGAGACATGCTGTAAGGAGTGATTGATGGCCTGACAGGTGCCAGCCTGTCGGCCCTAAAGAGACACAAGGGAGCAGCTGGATATTGGGAGGAGGGATATAAGGGGGTGTGTGAGGGCGGAGCGGGATTCGGGTTCTGGAACTAAAGTGAAGACATCTCGCCGCTGCGCTCAAGCTTGGGACAGCCTCAACCCTCACGAATCGACGGGCGGGTGATGGTTGATCCCCCCCGCCCGGATCAGACGAGTGAGTGGGTCTGAGGAAACGTATGCGAGGCCAGCGGCGCAGAGGGAGAGTAGCTGCGTCCAAGATCTGAGCGAAGCTTCTGTGAGAGCGATGCCTCTGTGTGAGCTCTGCTGTGTTCAAGGTCTGTGAGCACGACTGTGTGCAAGCTGTGTGAGCTGCTGTGTGTGTGGAGCTGCTGAGAGGAAGAGCTGCTGCTGGCAGGTCAGCGAGGTGTAAAGTAGATAGGGGAAGTTGGTAAACAAAGTGACCGTATAGACAGATAGGAGTGCCTATAACTGGTACGAGAGAGAGTAATATAGTGTAAGCAGGTGACTTGGAACGTGTCCGACTGAGTGATTCTACACGACACTACATTAATTTGGGAAGAGGCATATAAGCATTCATTCCACTGTCATATTAATATTTGCATTTATTTGGTTCTTGCTTAATTGCTTCAGCAACTCGGTTTTGTTTCATATATCATCACAACACTCGAAGAGCACCCCAAGTGGCAGCTGCCTATGTGT